TGCAATCTAGCAACACTCTAATCTAGGGAGTTGTGCTAGTAATGAGGAGTTGTACCAGGGAGTCCTACTGGGAGTTGTACTGGGGAGTTGGACTAATACTAGGGAGCTTCACAAGGAGTTGCACTAAAGAAACTGCGCTAGGGAGTTGCTTTGGGGAGTTATACTAGGGAGATGGGATTTGTAATATTATATTATATCACTAGGTTGCACTACGAAATTGTGCGACACATTGTATTTCTACTAGGGAATAGACCTGGGAATTGGACTAGGGACTTGTACTAGCGACTTGTACTAGCACTCGGCAACTGCCTCAAAGAATTGTGCTGGTACTATTTGTAATCGAGAACTGGACCGGGGAGTTGTACAAGGGAGTTGCACTAGTCCTAAAGATTTGTACTAGGGAGTTGTACCAGAGCGCACAGTTCCACCAACTGCAATACGATACCAGTTGCATTCCAACACTTGCACGGCAGGACAATGAGCTCTCCAGGAGCCACTGCGCGCTAGTACATGATAGTAACAGTCGTGCTCAAATACTAATTGTACCGCAGTCGGAGGGGCCCAGGGATTCCAACGGCAGCTCGCGCACGGAAGAAAAAAACAAATCCATGCGCCGCCACGGGTCCCGGGTTTAACGGGTCGCCGCGAAAATGGACCCCCCGCGGAAAGAAGAAAAGAAATCCTGCCGGAGGGATTGAGGGGTTCAAGGATGAGTCGCGGGGGCGAAGGGCCCCGCGACTCCAGCGAAGGTCCCATGGGGGCCCATCCGGAAGGGAAGAACTTCTGGGGCGCGTCCAGGAACCCAGGGGGTCCGGCTTCCGCGGAGGAAGAGAACAAATCCCTGGCGAGGGGTTCGAGCACGCGGGGCTACCCCCGCCTCAAATTCCAGAAAAGGAATGAATTCTCAGCCGCGGGGGCCCCCGCGCGAGGCCCCCCCCCCCGCAGCGCGGCCAGAGGAAGAAAAGCGTGAGAGCCCATATTGTAAGTGCAATGCAGCAACACTCTAATAGTGGTTGCACTATGGATTGTGCCAGTAATAGGGAGTTGTACCAGGGACTCCGGGAGTTGTACTAGACTAGTACTAGGGAGTTGCACAATGAGTTGCACTAGTGAGATTGCAGCAGGGAATTGCTTTGGGGAGTTGTACTAGGGACATGCACGAGAGATATGACATTCTATCACTAGGTTGCACTACGAAATTGTGCGATAACCTGCATTATTGCTAAGGGCTTGTACCTGGGAGTTGCACTAAGGACTTGTACTGGCGAGTTGTACTAGCACCCCGCAATTGCATCAAAGAGTTGTACTGGCACTAATTGTGATAGAGAGCTGCAGTTGTACAAGGGAATCGCATTAGCTAGTACTGGCGATTTGCACTCGGGAGTTGTACTAGGGCGCACAGTTTTACCAGTTGTAATACGATACCAGTTACACTCTTACACTTGCACGCCAGGCCAATGAGCTCTCCAGGAGCAACTGCGCGCTAGTACATTATAGTAAAAATTATGCTGAAATACCAGTCGCACGGTAGTCGGAGGGGCCCAAAGGTTCCAATGGCAGCTCGCGCGCGGAAGAAAGAAAGAAATCCATGCGCCACCAGGGGTCCCAGGTTTAACGGGTCGCAGCGAAGGTTGACCCCCCGCGGAAAGAAAAAAATCCGGCCAGGGGTTGGGGGGTTCAGGCATGAGTCGCGGGGCTGATGCCTGAATCGATCTCTGCTGCCGGGCATGCCCCCTGCGCCTGTGGTGCCGCGCTAAAGGCGCAGCCTCCAGACATGGCCTCGGATGGCGCAGGGGGGCTCGGCGCCGACCCCGGCGCAGCAGGGCCCATGCCGTCCGACCACTGCTCCTGCGCGGGCGCACCCACGAGGAACTGCGCCGTTGGGCGGAGTGGGCCGCTGAAGCGAAGTTGTCCGGCGACCCCTCTATCGCGTGCCCGAAGCGTCTCAGCTGGCCCGTCACGCGGGTGAGCTGCCGAGCGTTCGCGGGGTAAGTCACGTCGCGGACGCCGCGCGGGCACGGCGACCTGAATGTTCGACGCGCCAACGGCGCGCAGCAGGATGAAGCTGAGCCCCTCGTGACCGATCATGAGTTGACCAGCTTGCTGCGCTCGGTTACGGAGAGGAGAATGCCGAACATCGTTAGGGGGTTGTCGATGCGCTCCTGCGGCAGTCGGTCGAAGGCCATCAGAGCCGATGCTGCCGAGGCGGGCCCCTCCTCGCCCAGCTAGCCCCGTCGGTGGGCCAAGCTGCGCATTCGGAGGGTCGTCGGTGGCGCTGGGTCGCCGTTCATGAGACCTCCCTGGATCAGGACGGCCGGCGGCCATTCGTCCACGCGTTCGCACGCTATGCCGGCGAGGCGCAACGAGACGCGGGCCGCCTGGCAAAACTCGTTCAGGCCTGGATTCGCCACTGACCAGATCACCACCTCGCGCGCCCATTTTTCGGGAAAAGCATGCCAGCCTAGTGCTCGGGCACCCGGGTGCGGAGGTGGCTCATGTTGCCGCTGCCGCCACCAGCGCCTGCGCTGGCGACGCAGCTTGCGACGGCGCACATGCCGACTCCAGCGGCCTTCCATCTGGAGGGCAGCCCCATCCACATGTCGCAGAGGTGCTGGGGGCCAGGCGCCCCCAAACGACGTTGCATGAATCGCCGATGGTACTTGCCCCGGATGTGTTCCTTCTCGTCAACGTATTGGGCGTCTGTTTCTGTCGCGCCACTCTAATGCTCGCGGTGTTCGGAGCACCCCGCGACGCAATCGCGGGAATGCTCTTCGTGCGTCGCGCGGTCACTTTGCTGAGCGCCGCCAATTGAAGAATCGTCTAGAGGAGTGCGCATCGGGATCCCGTCCTGCCCGACTGGCGGGTCTCAGCGGGCGCAGCGAAGGGTCGGGTCCGGAGGTGTGACTCCTCGGAGCGATGGCGTCCCAGTCGCCGCGCCTTCCACTGCATTGCTTCGGGGGGCGAGGAGCGCAGTTCCC